CTTAGTTGGCTCCCTGCCTATCCTGCCCCCACTCGGCACTCAGTGAAGCCAGCTGCAGGACCATGTGTGTGTTTCTGAACTCTTGAGAGCCTGGAGAGAGGGGAGACAGGCTCCTCATACTGCCCCCGCTCCCAGTAGCTCCCACTGGCTAGTTTCTCCAGTGGAGCAGAATCCATGGTGCTGTGCTATAACATTACTCAGTTCACTTTAAATAAAAGGCTACACATACAGCATGTCGAGTTCAGTCGTCATAAAATCCCAAGGATCTGCCAGTGGCAACCATGCAGGACAAGCCACAGGTGACCAGGTGTTTGCTGGAGCCTCTGATTTCATCGTTTCATTAGAATCACAGGGTTAGAAAGAACCAGCAGGGTCAGCTAGTCTAACCCCCTGCCAAGATGCAGCATCTGGTGTGTCAAACCATTCAAGACAGCTGGCTACCTGGCCTTCTTTTGAAAATCTCCAGAGAAGAAAATCCCACTACCTCCCAAGGCCTGTTCCTTTGTCCTACTGTTCTCACAGTTAGGAAGTTTTCCCTCAGATTTATTCTAAATCTGCTCTGCTGTAGTGTGAACCCATTGCCTCTTGCCCCATTCTCAGGAGAAAGAGAGAACCTTCCTCCATTGTTTATGGCAACCTTTCAAAAAGACTGCTATCATGTCCCCCCTATAATCGCCTCTTTCCCAAACTAAATGTACCCCGTCCCTTCGGCCTTTGCTCAGAGGGCTACATTCCATCCCTTGGATCATCTTTGTCACTCACCTCTGGATCCTTTCCAGTTTATCTACACCCTTGGCATAGATTGGTGACCAAAACTGGATACAGTACCCCAGGGGAGGCCTAACCAGAGCCAAGCAGAGCAGTACAATCACCTCTCGTGACTTAGGGCTTGTCTGCACTACTGCTTAAGTTAATGTAACTTATGTCACTACAGGATGTGAAAAAGTTCCCCTCCCTTCAAAGCCATGCAAGTTACGTCGAAGTAAAGTGGCATCCACGCTGCTATGTCGATGGCAGAGGCTCTCCCACCAGCATAGCTTCTGTCTCTCATTGAGGTGCTGTAACCGTGCCAATGGGAGAGCACTCTCCTTTCAGCACAGCACACCAGCTGACGTGCTACAGAGGCACAGGCGCATCAGGGCAGACTAGCCCTAAGAAAAACTTCTGGCATCCAAGACTGGAAAAGTCCAGCCCAGTATGTTCTGCCTTAATGAGCAAACACTGTACCATCCTGGTTGAAAACCCCACTCCACAACCCCTTAATGAGCAAACACTGTACCATCCTGGTTGAAATCCCCACTCTACGACTGTGGCATTATCTACTATTTTGATGGATTTGGCCTTCTGGGACATCAAGCTTTTCTAATCCAGACTGTAGCTTTTCCAGTCCTCCTAAATTCTGGCATGGTCCCAAGCAACTACAATGTCGAGAATGTCTTCAGTGAGTGTTTCCCTTCTCCTTCCTGCCACATAGAAGCAAACACTAGTTTTTCGTCATCCAAAAGAATGAAAGTGAGGCTGCCAAAGCACGCCAGCCTGAACAAAGAGGTGGGTTTTGCATGGAGCCCAGAATGGGGTCAGATTACTCATCCTTCATTCTTCTGGCAGCAAGTTCCATCAGCTTGTTCCAACTCCTGGGCGAGAGCTGCCTCCTGCGCCCACGAGCCTCGTCCTATTGGTTAGCAGTTTCACACAGCCAGGGGGATGTAGCTGTCCAGGGAGGCCACATTTTTCTGACCGACTCAAAGGAAACTTGGCGCATAATAGCAATTCATCTGAATTCACTAAATCTAGCTGCGGGTAAACCCCACTTCACAATTGTAGTGGCCAAGCACTTCCTGAAACATAGCTAGTCATGGATGTCTGTTCAAACCCTGCCACTTTGCAATTCTTCGGGGATTGATTCCAGATAACCAGTGCCCTATAGAAAATCAACCTGGAACAGTCCATTAGTTAACCAGGTTTTATCCGTTATATCAGCTGTTAATCATTTCCCAGGTATTGCATCCATCCATTCCGCTTGTGACAAACCCACACCATAAGTTCTGTACAGAGACATGCTGACCTCAGGCTGTTCAAATACTGCAATCATCGCATTCAGTGATGTTTGTACAGCAGTCTGAGCGACAAAAGGGCTCAGCATTATAATGCTAGTATGGCTGCTGTAGCAGAATGGAGTATCACAAATGAGGTAATGCTAATGGTTGCATTAACAGAGAAGAATAATGTACCAATCACTTTGTGTGATGGAAGGTGTTTTTAAGTGCATTCTCGTAACACTCAAATGTTGTCAGTTATCTCCAATTCAGAGACAGGGAAAGGGAGACAGAGATTAACATGTTCAAGCACAGATCTTAAATTCTTGTCTCTTGTCTCTGGAAATTCAACTGGTGGACTCCCTGTGTCCAGTCCTCTGCTCTAACCATTAGTCTGCAAAGCATTGACTACTCTCAAACATTTCAACCTTAGGATATAAACTCAGTAGAAATAAAGAAAGCAGAATTTACTCAAAATACGAATTTTTAGATTTTGGGAGCAGAACTCGCTATTCTGCTAATTGTACAAGAGAGACATATCAGCTCAAATTATCTGTTTGAACCGGTCAGTTTAAACCTCCTCCAGCAGGGAAACATGGTCACTTTAGGTAGCAAACCTCAAGTTAGCCGATTTCTGGGCAGGCAGGGCTTGCACTATGGCAGGGGTGTGGAACCTAAGGCATCTGCCCCCTGGCTTTCCTGAATCTAGCCCCCAAGACATAGGACTCCCCTCATAGCACTGGGGAGCCCGCGCTGGCGTGCCAGCCCTCCGCCATTCCTTCACAGCTCTGTAGCACACACTGGCTCTCCCCCTTCCCCCGTGGCTCTGCTGCGTGAGGGGAATGTGGGAACTGTCTCCTCCTCCTCAGTTCGGGTGGCCATGTCAATGAGGTCTGGTTAGTTTTTTTTTTTCTTTTTGCACTTGTGTGGCCCTTGACTGATTTTTCTGTGGGTCAGTGGCCCCGACCCAAAAAAGATTCCCCACCCCTGTACTACAGCAACTCTCACTGAAGACCTGTCACAGACGGATTGAAAAGAGAAGGCTGGCTGCATTGGTAGAGCCCTGCCTACCCGCAGATAGTGAAGCCGATAGCTGTGAACGGCTCTCCTTCCCTTTCTGGCAGGGATGCCAGGCTGCAGATGGGGAGCACGGGTGCCAGTTGCAGGCCCCTGCATGCAGGGAAAGAACGCAACAAGCTCTGTCCTAAACCTTCCTGCAGGAGGGCCTAAGTGTGGGCCCTGCTCAGGCCCCCTACCACTCTGCCTGGTGAGCACTGACTTGTGGAACCCCAAGTCCCCGCTGCCCCTTACTCCTAGTCCCTGCTTTCACGCTGCCTGCCTCTTTCCTGCCCCCTTCTCATTCATTATGCTACCTCCCCCACTGCCAACGGTTTGCTGTGCGGATGCAAGTACAATCCCGATCACGGATTGCAGATCGGATGATGAGTTGAGCCTGACGGATGCAGATTCCCCACTTTTGTATCTGAGCAGGGCTCTACACATTAGCATTCTGATGTTATCGTTTGGTCTCAGAGAGTGAGGCTTTACCTCATGCCAAGAGGGCCAAGGGTCATGGACCCCACAAAGAGAGGGCAGAGACAAAGCTTACACTGGGAAGTAAGACTGGACCATCAAGCTCTAACTTCTCACTGGAACGTACAAAAGGGTACATGAGGAAGACAACCAGCATGTAATGGGTTAAAAAGAAACAGGGCTAATGTAAGCAGCACAGAGCAATAGATAGGTATGTAATGAAAGGGAGAAGACGAACAAATAAAAAAGAAACTCTTATTTTGGGTTTGTACAGCGCCATGCAAAATGGAATCTAGTCACCATGGGGTCTCCTTTAGGGATATGTCTATAGGGCAACTAAACACCCATGGTTCGCCTGTGCCAGCTACATGTTCAGGTCCGGGCTAGAGCCTGAGCTCTGGGACCCCACAAGTAGGTGGGTGGTGGTCCCGGAACGCAGTCGCCTGTGCCAGCTACATGTTCAGGTCCAGGCTAGAGCCTGAGCTCTGGGACTCCACAAGTGGGTGGGTGGTGGTCCCGGAACGCAGGGTCCAACCCAAAGCCTGAACATTTCTGCAATTCTACAGCCCCATAGCCTGAGCCCCTGGAGCCCAAGTCAGCCACCACAGGCCAGCGGAAGCATTGAATTGCAGGGCAGATGTACTACAGTGCTACCCAGAAGTAAATAAAATAAATAGTGAGAAAGGGAAAATAAATACAAAAAGGAAAACAAAATGGAAGAAAGGTGAAGAGGAAGATTTAACAAGTACAATGCACATCAACCAGATTTGCTCTACACGTATTCATTCAAAATGACTGCAAAACAGCCACCATGGCTGAGGTTTGGAATACAGGTCCAGATCCCCACACACCAATAGTTGGTATCGCTTCACAAGAACTCAGTTCCTAGGTTTCATTTAGTCTAAAATGTCTTCTCAACTAGTCTGCACTGCTGTTGGCCTCATCCAGAATCAGGCTGCTTTGCCGACCCCCGCCCCATGACAACACAATCACTCATGCAAGGATACGTGGCAGCTCCATTCCAAAACCGAGAAAATAAGAGATTTACCCAGAGATGCAGCTCTCAGATGCAGACCTGAGAATTCTGCAATGTGATCTCAACTCCTGTTGCACTGAATAAGAGGTGCTGCCCACAGAGACTGCAGGTCCAGCATCCATGGCTTCATTTCCATTACAGCCAGTGTCCAATTTGATCAACATGCAGGATCGCATACTGGGACCTGGAGTCTTCAGGGCCATACCTCCACAGCTAATATGCTGGCAGCTCGATTCTGCTTCCATTTCAATCAAGCTATAAGCAAGTTACCTAAGTGACTTTTGGTAGAGAACAGTTTGTTTTCAGCTATACTAGGTTCATCCTGGATGCTGTCTCTGGCATGAGCAGATTCCTTCCACCCTTCTCTAATGAGCCAGCTCTGCAGCATTACTCACAGAGAGGAGGTCCGAACAACACGGTGTCCAGGGCTTTCAGCTGCAGCTTCTGCCTGTGGCTCCGATCAGTCATTTTCAGCACAGTTCCCATCATGGTGGCATTGTTTATCGCTAACCTTCAGGACAGAAAGAGCAAACTGTCACATTTCAATCTGGAAATGACAATGGCAGAAGAATACGTGATCCCGAGCTCAAGGAGGAGAAATGCAACGAACAGGACCAAGGCACTGTCCTCTCCGGTACCAAGGCAAGTGGAAGACCCTTAGAGAACTCAAAATTCAGCCTTTGAAGAAGGCCGGATACTGAAAAACAGCTTCCTTGACAATCAGGTGGGCATTAGCACAAGAGTCAGTAAGAGACAAATACCATTTTCTTTCAGTTCACACAAGCAACTTCTTCCTTATATATACACCCGTACTTCTGTAACTTCCACTCCAATTCACCTGATGAAGTGAGTTTCACACACAAAAGCTTATGCCCTACTAAATCTGTTAATCTCTAAGGGTGTGTCTAGACTACAGGGTTTTGTCGACAAAAGTGGACTTTTGTCGACAAAACTATACCTGCGTCTACATGGTCGCTGAGTTCTGTCGACATAACATTGACAGAACTCGGCAGTTTTGTCAATGGCTGTAAACCTCATTCTACGAGGAATAATGCCTTTTGTCGACAGAGTTCTGTCGACAGAAGGCGTTATTGCATCTACACTGTCCTTTGCTTTGTCGACAGAACTGGATGTAGTCTAGACGCTCTTTGTCAACAGAAGCTTTGTCGACAGTATCTGTCAACAAAACTTCTGTTGACAAAAGCCGGTAGTCTAGACGTATCCTAAAGAGCCACAGGACTCCTCATTGTTTCTGGAACTCAAAGGAATTTTTCCCTCAGCTCCACCCACATCTGTTTGACCACATTATCGATCAGATCCACCAGCTGCTCCCTCAGATCCATACAGATGGCAACTGGCACCTTATCCTTTGCACAGCCAACACAGGAGAGATCTCCCAGATGGGAGAAAGCTGATCAGGTCAGCACAACTTGGCTCTGGAGTAAAACAAGCATTGCTGCAGAAGCATTATTACCATTTACAACACCCTCTCCCCACCCTGCCTACAAGCCCCTTGTTAGCAAGAATAATCTTGGACCTTTCAGTCTGCTAGCCCCACTCCTAATTCAGCAGCAAATGTTTCTGCTGAGCAGCATGAGATCCCTCAGCTCTTATTATTTGTATTACTAGAGTATCTAAGGGCCTCACCCAAAACCAGGGCGTAGGAACTTAATGAATGGCAATACTGGGTTAGACAAATGGTCCATGTAACCAAGCATCCTGTCTGCTGACAGCGGCCAATGCTTCAGGGGGAATGAACAGAACAGGTAAAAGAGTGACTCATCCCCTGCTGTTCTCTCCGTTTCTCGCGAACAAGGGCACAGGACAGTGGTTCCCAAACTTTTTAACATCACACCCCCTTTTTGATTTTTGAAGATTTCCATTATCTAGGACAGTGTTTCTCAACCTTTTTTTTTTATAAAGTACTCCTTCAAAAAAAATTATAAGTACCCCCAGTACCTACAACATACAACATTTCAGACATACAACATTTTTTTTCTACCATTGCAACACATTGGTTTAAACAACTTAATTGTAGCTGGGTGGGTGATGAAATTTTTGAGTGTAAAAAGTACAAAAATAATAAAGTGCTGTAAAACTTAAAACAAAAATTCAGTTTTCTCCAAATTTCAGTTGTGTTGTATTGACTTACCCCCAAGACTTCTCTTGAATACCCGTAAAGGTACTCGTACCACTAGTTGAGAAACAGTGGTCTAGGAAATTTACTGAACTAAAACTTGAAGTGTTTGGAAAAGGATGTTAATTCAGGGTAAGTTATTCATTTTAACTGCTGCTGTTTTACCCAACCATGAAATGTTATATTTTGACCTATTTTTCCAGATATGTTTTGATATTCTTAATCAAAGGAGTTTAAGTAATATTATATAACTGTTATGTGAATTACCCTGCTTCAAACAGGAATAACTGGAGAAATTAGTCTGGTATGTTTTTCAGACATATAATAAAAGACTATTAAAATAAAAGAAAAATAGAATTATGATTATCTGATTAGTGTGACTGCATTAGCTTGGGTCCTGCACCAGTTGAAATCAGTGTGAGTTTTGCTATTAACTTCAGAAAGACTAGAGGCAAATTTTTATTTACTTGTATATGACACAATTTATGTTGATGTTTCTCTCAGACTCGCTTCTGGTTATGTTGGGAGTTGGTTTACCCTGTCTCTGTGTCTGAATGTTAGGGTCTGACGCTATGTGTACCCTTGTACTTACTTCATCAACAAAACTTTTGTCATTCACAGATGCTTAAAAAAACCCCAAACCTGAATGACAAAAGTTTTGCCATGGCAAGGGAAAGTGTGAATGCTGCTTTGTTGCCTAAGTCTGTTGCCAATAAAGTTAAATCATCTCATTGGAGGTGGAAGTATAGTGTTGACATAGCTTTGTCACAAAAAGCTGCGTAGTATACACATACCCTCTGTTTCTTCTCTCTCTGTTGGTACCAAAAAGTGTGCCCACTCCACCTGTTGCAGTGTAGGTTCCCTTGCATGGGCCTGTTTACAGGAATATAATATAGAGATACTCAGCACTTGACCTTAGAACAGGGTATCCCAAGTCATTTTGTTTCTTCTTTTATCTTACTTTCCTTTGTGTCAAGAAGTTCATTTGCTTCTTTCCCCGGGGTTTCTCCCCAATTACCCTTGTGTCAGGCCATCAAGTACTAGTTCTCTTGAGATCCCAGCCATTCGCATGCACACTAGCTCTCCCATGCCTTTAATTTCTTTAGAGGTGGCAGGGAGACTCCGGAATGTCCTGATCTTCCTGTTTCTTTCCTAAGTCTGTCATTAGCCCTTTCTTCGGCTCTTGTTCCTAGTTTGTTCTGGGTAACTCTCCTGGCCCAAGTTCATATGTACAAAGAGCCCAAAAACTGATTTTTCTCATCCTCTGCCCTCCCCAAAGTGAGTGACAGGCCTGCCTTTTATTTCTTGCTTTGGTTATATGACATCTCCTGTCTTTTACACTGGCTCCAAACAACTGTAGCCAACAGAAGGGTAACTCCTCCCATTTGCAACTTCGGTTGCCTACATTAACCACCCTAGTTCGAACTAGGGTGGTAGTGTAGTCATACCCTTAGTCCCTAAAGAGCCACAGGACTCCTCATTGTTTCTGGAACTCAAAGGAATTTTTCCCTCAGCTCCACCCACATCTGTTTGACCACATTATCGATCAGATCCACCAGCTGCTCCCTCAGATCCATACAGATGGCAACTGGCACCTTATCCTTTGCACAGCCAACACAGGAGAGATCTCCCAGATGGGAGAAAGCTGATCAGGTCAGCACAACTTGGCTCTGGAGTAAAACAAGCATTGCTGCAGAAGCATTATTACCATTTACAACACCCTCTCCCCACCCTGCCTACAAGCCCCTTGTTAGCAAGAATAATCTTGGACCTTTCAGTCTGCTAGCCCCACTCCTAATTCAGCAGCAAATGTTTCTGCTGAGCAGCATGAGATCCCTCAGCTCTTATTATTTGTATTACTAGAGTATCTAAGGGCCCCACCCAAAACCAGGGCGTAGGAACTTAATGAATGGCAATACTGGGTTAGACAAATGGTCCATGTAACCAAGCATCCTGTCTGCTGACAGCGGCCAATGCTTCAGGGGGAATGAACAGAACAGGTAAAAGAGTGACTCATCCCCTGCTGTTCTCTCCGTTTCTCGCGAACAAGGGCACAGGACAGTGGTTCCCAAACTTTTTAACATCACACCCCCTTTTTGATTTTTGGAAACCATCCCGTCCCCTCCCCCCATAGCAGCAAAACTTGCTGAATAACAACAACCACAACAACAAAAAAAGGAACTGACTAGGAAAAACTTAGGGTGGGATTGACGGGTGCATGCGGGGCTGGGTCGCTTCATGCCCCCCCTGGAATTTCTTCACACACCCCCAGTTTGGGAAGAGTATGGGGAAGCATCCCTGACCACCTCAGCTAATTACCCCTGATGGGCCTATCCTGCATGAACTAATCTAGATCTTTCTGGAACACAGTTATGGTTTTGGCCTTCACAACATCCCCTGGCAATGCATTGCACAGACTGACTGGGCATTGTGTGAAGGAGTTCTTCCTTTTGTTTGTTTTAAACCTGCTGCCTATTCAAGTCATTTGATGACGCCTTGTTTTTAAGTTAAGGACTAAACATCAGCGCCTGATACTTTTTCTCCACACAAATCAAGATGTTGTAGGCCTCTCCCATTCCCTCCTTAGTCGTCTCTTTTCCAAGCTGAAAAGTCCCAGAGTCTGTCATCTCTCCTCATATGGACGCTGTTCCATATCCCTGATCATTGTTGTTGCCCTTTTCCAGTTCTAATGAGTCTTTTTTGAGATAGTGGTGGTTAGAACTGCATGCAGTATTCAAGGTGCTGGCACACCAGGGATTTATATGGTGGAATTACAATATTTGCTCTCTTATCTCTCTCCCAATGTTCCTAATATTCTGTTAATGTTTTTGACTGCTGCTGCACACAGACTGGATGTTTCAGAGAACTATTCACAATGCCTCCAAGATCTCTTTCTTGGGTGGGAATAGCTAATTTAGATCCCATCATGTGTATAGTTTGGTATAGTATGTGTAGCAGGGGTGAGGAACATCAGTCTGGGTGCAGCCCTTGGCTTGTCTGGATCCAGCTTCCAAAGCTCAGGGCCCCCCGCATTGGGGAACCCACGCTGGCGCTCCAGCCCTCCCTCCCCACACTGCTGCTCCCACAGGGGTTGGAGTACACAAAATCTACTAGGCTGGGCCCCGTAGGCAAAGTGTGCGAGGGGAATGTGTGGCATGTCTTTCTCCTTCTCAGCCTGGGGCCGCAGCAAGGGTTTTTTTCCCCTAATGGTGCCTAACATTGTTTGCTTTTTTGGCTGCTGATGCACATTGAGAGGCTGTTTTCAGAGAATTGTCACAATAACTCCCAAGATCTATTTGAGTGGTAACAGCTAATTTTGTATGTATAGATGGAATTATGTTTTCTGTTGTGCATTTATCAGCACTGAATTTCATCTGCCAATTTCTTGACCAATCACCCAGTTGTGTGAGATCCCTTTGTAACTCTTCAATCATCTTTGGACTTATTTATCTTGAGTAATTTTGTATCATGTACAAGTTTTGCCACCTCCTTGTTTGGCGTCTTTTCCAGATCATTTATTAATATGAGGGGCACCAATATTTACTTCTTTCCATTTGGAAAACTAACGGTTTATTGCTACGGCCCCCAACTGATTTTTCTGTGGGCGAGTGGTCCCCGCCCAAAAAGGGTTCCTACCTCTGATGTAGAGTTTGGATGCTTTCCAATGTGCATTGCTTTGCATTTATCAACACTGAATTTTATCCACCATTTTGAACCCTTTGTAATGCTTCACAGTCTGCTTTGGACGTATTTATCTTGAGTAATTTTGTATCATGTACAAGTTTTGCCACCTCCTTGTTTGGCGTCTTTTCCAGATCATTTATTAATATGAGGGGCACCAATATTTACTTCTTTCCATTTGGAAAACTAACGGTTTATTGCTGTCCTTTGCTTCCTATCTTTTAACCAATTCAGATCCCTGAATGGATATTCCCTCTTTTCCTAGGATGCCTAATTTGCTTAAAAGCCTTTGGTGAGGGCAGAATTGTACTAAGCATGGTATATGCACATAAGAGATAGGCCCTCCCCACGGACCTTACCCTCTGCACAGACAAGTCAGATAAAGGGCAACAGAAAGGAAGGCTTATCCACACTTTAAGATGGGGAACTGAGACAAGCAAGATCTAGATAATTGCCCCAGGTCACAGATGGAGTCTGCAAGGGAGCCAAGAACTGACCCACATCTGATTGGCCAAATTCAGGCTTTAACCAGTAGGTCATTCTTCCCCTATAGTGGAGTCAGGTCCTGTTGGCTGCATTAGAGAGAGATTAAATCTGCTTCAGGGCAGTGTCTCCCGTGGGATAAAGCATAACCTTTTCCCCGCAGGTTCTTTCCCTCCTGAAACTCCTTCGAGAGCAGTGGTCTCCAATTTCTATATGCCCCAGAACACTTTCTGAATTTAAGGGCAACCCAAGATCTACCCTGCCCCTTCCCTAAAGCTCTGCCCTGCTCACTCCATCCCTCACTTTTAACAGGCTGGGGCAACGGGTTGCAGTGCAGGGTGCTGGCTCTGAGAGAGGGGGTCATGGATGGGGCAGGAAGCTGGGTGCAGGAGGGGGTTCAAAGTGCAGAATGTATGGGGGACTGGCTCTATGAAGAGGCTCAGGGCTGGAGTTTGGGGTGCAGGAAGAGGTTTGGGGCACTAACTCTGAGGGGGGCTCAGGGACGGGTTTTGGGGTAGAGAAGTGGGCATGGGATGCAGACTCTTGGAGGGGGTTCAGGCTGATGGAGGAGGTGGTCTGAGGTGCTGGCTGTGGGCGGGGGCTGGCGGGCAGCCTCCCACCAGGAGGCACTTACCGTTGGAAGCTCCCAGTCAATGGCACAGGGAGAAGATGGCAGGTGCCTGCTTGCCCTGGCCGCACATGTCTCCCACAAGGGAACAAGGGAACAATGCACCCTGTGGCCCCAGGTGTGGAAGACACGTGGCTCTGAACAACACTGCCCCCTCAGCTCCCATTGGACACAGTTCCCCATTCCCAGCCAATGAGAGCTGTGGGGGTGGGGGCAGCGCTTGCAGGGAGGAGCAGTACATCCAGACTCATGCCCCGCCCTCCTCCTCCAAACACAGGAGTCCGTGGGGCCACGCTGGCCACTCCCAAGAACGGGCCAGCAGCATGGGGCTGGGACAAGGAGGAAGCTTGCCAATCAGGATCCAATGGGAGACTCTCCAGGACTGACCAGTTGATTGTAATCGACAGGTTGGTGACCACTGCAGAGCTTATCACACTCTTTACCTTCTTCAACTCTCATCCTCTCAGTCATCTCTGAGCAGGCGGCTGGTACAAACCCAATGCACCCTGTAAGTCCTCAAAATACGGCTTAACTGATATAGGCCTTGTGCTGAGCCTCTCTGTAGCAGGGGAATTTCAACTGTCAAATATGCGCACTCACACACACACACGTATATAAGCGAGAAGATGAAATCAGCACTAACCTGGGCATGGCGTGGCCACTCAGCTGCAGTTTCCTGAAGGTTTCTTCATACTGTGGCAGTTCTACATAGGTGATTAGCCACTGCACCACCTCATCAACAGTCCAGTTGTACACTGAGGGGGGGGAAAAATCAATAGCTGAAACATTGTCTTGTGGTCAGCTGGCAGCACCAACAGGTCTGCTATTTTCATCATACCCAACACCCCAAGACAGAAGCTTTACTTGATGCACCCCTCTTCCTGCTTCCTTCTGTACAGTAAAGATAAAAGCCATGGAGGGTTGTCATAAGACCGCTCATGCCTATAGACAGATTAAGCCCAGCTCTCCTGGACCAGAATAGGGGAGCACACTCTAGCTAATATCAGAGGGCTTGGCTACATCTGAGCTACAAAGGGCTGCTAGTCAGCAGGAGAAAGGACTGAGTCAGGCTGAGCCTGGAGAGGGAAAGCCACACTAGAGTGGAGCTAGTACATGGGGTGGGTCCCTGGAGCAAGAGGCCAGGGGCTCAGGGAAGCAGCCCCGTGGCTGAGGCTAGAAAGTTACCATGAGCTAGAGTGCCAGAGACTCAGAGGAGGGAGGGGGGCTGAAACCTGGTGTCAAGGATAGAGTGAAGTCCGTTTTCTATTTGTTTGATAACCTCTGCTAAAGAAATAAACCTCCTTGACTGAAACTGGAGGAGGCGGCGCATCTTTGGTGCCAGGGAGAAGTGAGCTTGGTGACAAGAGTTTAAGGCAACAGCTAAAAGCTATATAAGGAGTGCTGGGATGCACCAGACAAGTCTATCTTCCTCCACCCCTGGAAACCTAGAGCAAATCTGGCAGCATTGCACACACACAAGTCCCCTTAAGTAACTAGATAGAGACCTACAAAATGTCACGTAAGAAATAATTCTACACTGACCAGTGGAAATTGGCTAGGTGACCTTTTTCAGCCTGTAACATCTTTGGTTGGGTGATGATCTTTCATCGTCTCTCCTGAATAGAGGACAAGTCTGCTGCAGAAGATTTAGGATAAACAGGTCCCAGGAGACAGTGTCTAAAGATGGTCACCTTTCCCAACAGCTGTCTAAGGCAATAAACCTTATGGGGGGGATTGATTTTACGACACAATTACAGCACATGGGTAGAGGATGATGACAGTATCAGATATACCAAGAGTGTGAAACAGCTCTTGGCAAAGATCATGTCCAATTTCCTCACTATGTGCATTATAGCACAACCCTACCGCCTAGGCAGCCAGGCCTGTAGCTTTATCTTAGCAACTGGAAGGTGAGAGGCTCTCAAGAGATGCGATACAGAGCTCTCAGGAGACAGATTTAAAATGGGCCGCCAAAGTGATTTGTTGAAAGAAAACGCTGGCACTTCTATAGTACGTTCTTCACCTCCTTCACATGCTTTGGTAGGTTTCTGGAAGGAATAACTTGGGTCCCAACTTTAAAAACCGTGTTGACAATTTTTAGGCACATTCATTTTGAAGGAGTTTAACTTGGGACACAGCTTGATATCAAAAGATTCCAAAACAAATGGAGAGTGGAACATTCTGGCCTACGACATGAGTTGTGTGCATTGCTTTTAATCTTGATTGTATTAAAGCAGAAAGAAGTCAAGCAGCAACACGACCATTAACCAGGCGTGAGTGGAGTTTTCGCTTTACTCTAATATGCCAGTGCAGCCTGCATACAGCATCTGCCTGCTTCATGCAGTGGCATTTAGATAAAACTCAAATAATTCAAACAGGGCCTCTATTTGATGTCGTCACTGATTTAATTGGTTATGACTCTTATACATTCCGCTTATTGTACATTCTACTAGCCAAGACTTCAAAAGTGACCTCTCACACTCACTGTGGTTTTAGCTCTCGTAGCTAGCTACCACAGCCTAATTCACCTCGGGGCTAAAATGGATCTATCACATTGAAGTCAATAGAGTTGGGCTCACTGATGCCAGCGGTAATTTATCCTCCAACTCCCTAAATTTGAATGGGTAAGTAAGAATGTAAGACCATCTTCCACACCCCTCAGAGGAGAGGAATACTTCCAGCAGGACAGAGGGCCTGACAGAGTGAGAACGCCCTTGTTGACAGAGGCAAGTGTCCGATATAGGCAGCCAGAGGGAAGGGATATAATTTTAATGCAATCCCACGGGATTGTCAGTACAGAGAGATACAAAGCAATACAAACTAAGACAGCAAACCCAACTAGTTTAAGAAATTTCTCTATGGCATTAATATAAATGATATTTGACATGATGGAAGCCAGATTGTGGGCCACAAAACATTTCCTTTACATCTGGCAATTATCAAGCATGAACACACCCAAAGAAATTAGAAATTAAAACCGGATCTTCAGTCACTGGTGTTAAATACCAACACCTTCTAATCTCTCTCAATGAGCGCCAATGCCCATTTAAAACCTCCGCTTAAAAAAAAAAAATCAAGACAAAATTGAATGATGATTTGGATGAAAAGAGGCAAGTAAAAAAACTACTTCAATTTACAGCCTTCTTCTCTGCACCTCCTGCCTACGAGGAGAGGAACTGCAGCCTCCAACAGAAGAAAACTGCTAAAAATATGAAACTAAACTTGACCCTGACAGACAGTCTGAACAGAGATCAGAAGTGGCTAGCTCACTACAAAAAGTAATTTTCCACCTCTTGGCATTCTCACCTTCTCATCAACTGTTGGGAGTGGGCCACATCCACCCTAATTGAACTGTCTCGTTAATACAGGTTTTTACATCGTAATGTAACACTCCCATCTTTGCATGCATAAATATCCCTGCCAAACTGAAGTTTCCACTTCATGCATTTGACGGAGTGGGCTCCAGCACACGAAAGCTTACAGTCAAATAAATGTGTTAGTCTTTAAGGTGCCACAGGACTCCTTGTTTTTGCTAAGAATACTAAATCATAATGCTTACAGTGGAAAGCAGATCCCCACTTGGGCACATACCCAACTGAATTCTTATTGCTTCCAATTCTGTTCTATTTGCCAGAGAGCCTGGAAAATACCTGCCTAACTGGTAATGCTACCCACAGCCATCTGGACCTTTTTTACTTAATTGAAGGCAGTGTCCCTCTGATGGTTGCTACACTGCCAGCTCAGCTCTCTTAGGGAGACATTTTCAGTTGATCATCTGCTTAGAACAGTGGCCGCTGGGTACGTTTCCATGAATTCAAACCCTGGTTTCCTCTGAAGCTGCCTGCTTTACTCTTTCCTTTTAACTAAGACGTGCCCATCTTGTCTTTGTTTTCTTAGAGGAACTAAGCAATAGCCCTGAGTGAACGTCGCTATGGAAGAGTGAACTGTAGTCTATTTTACCTGAATTTCATAGCTAACAGCTGGAGAATCTTTATTTCTAGTGACAATGTAAAAAGCAAAAAAGAACAGTCTGATTTTTAGACCTCAGAGATGGTCTAACTGCAGAGATGGCAGTTAGAAAAATAACTTCATCCATAAACCGAACCAATCTGTTCTGGGTGTCAGGTCAACAAGAGATTCCCACCATGCCATTTCAAAGCTCTCTCTCGGGTGAGAACTGCAGCAAGAAAGCACAGCTTCCTTTGTGGGCCTGATTCTACCAGTCTTCCACAACAGATGTACTAAATTCAAAAGACATTCAGGCTCAGAGGGATTAGCCTCTGTATGGGAAGAAAGAATAACCTTGGAAACAAATCATTTCATATTTCATTAACAAAATGAGTCATGAGGAGCCAGAAAAACTGAAGAGATAACTAAGGCTGGTTCAGCAAAATGAGTCATGAGGAGCCAGAAAAACTGGAGAGATAACTAAGGAGAAAAATCAAGTAACAGAAACATTTTAAGGAAATGCTACTTAAAATGTGTTTCAGGAAAAATAAGAAATCAAAACAACCAAGTAATGGAACGTGAGAGCATCCTGAGGTATGCCAGCACTTAAGAGTGTCTGTATTTAAATTGACATTTAGATACACTTATGCAAAGCCATTTGTAAACAATGATGCAATAGAATAAAATATTTCTACCATCAGGCTTTCCTCGAACACACAAAGGACCAACTGCCCTATAGCATCTTTCTGGCATTTTAAGTGCTGTGGACAAAAACTTGTATACATATTGGTCATCATAGTGTACAGAAAAATAAAACAAATGGGACAGAATAAAAGGGAACCAACCCTTTCAAAAATTATGTTTTGTTTTAAATACCCTGCTTCTGTTCTTCTCTCAAGGAGGAGAGGATGGATGGATGGATGGATGGTTAAGGCTGTTCCAGGTGCTATGGGCAAGATGGTAGAAGGGCATGTATGGACTCAGAGGGAAGGACAGGGAGGAGCATATCTGTGCCACCCCCTTTCCCCCCCCTTTTGCTGCCTCTATTTGCCTTGATAGAATCATCAAGCGGGGAGGGGAATCAACTAATCGACTAGTTGACTGACTATCCGATAAGCATTTGTTTATTGGACAGTTGACTAGTCCTTAACATCCTGACCATAAATTACAACCTTTGTCAAGGTACATATTCTGCGACAAGCTGGCTGCATGTGGCACGGTGTATGAATGCTGCAACTGGATTTTCTGAGATGGAATGACAAAATAAAAATGGAGGTTTTGAAGTTATTAAATAACATGTGACACAGTCAGTAGAATGACCCTGTATTTAAATATTAAATTCCACTTATTCTACATTGCCCCCACATTTGCACTGTTGAGGTAATGAAGATTTCTGTATGCACTGAAGCAGGCCAGAAACTGGAACTGCCATTCTGTAGAAAATTCCAGACACTCTCTCTCTCATGAATTGCCTTTCATAGGGACAAGATCTCCATGCGTTCTCAGTCGCTGCCATTCTGTAGAAAATTCCAGACACACTCTCTCTCATGAACTGCCTTTCATGGGGACAAGATCTCAGTCATGCTACCCAAACCACCAGCCTCCCCGACAATATCTGTGGGTCGTAAGCACGAGAGCTGCTCAGAAACGTTTGCATGCAATCTTTTTGTGGTCAGAAAACGCTAATTTGTCAAAACTGAAATGTTCCCCCGGAATGTGTCAGTTTCAACGACACTTTCAAAAGTAGTGAGGCAGGTTTCCATTGGAAACCGGCCTGCTTTCCTGCCCACTTCCATGGCTCTTCAGCCACCTGGCTGGTGGGTTGCTGGGCTTCCCAGACTGCCAGACTCCCTGCCTCGCGAGCCCAGACTCACCAGCTGCCATGAAGCCTGGGCTCCCAGACTCCTTGTTTGATGAGCTGCTAGATCTTAAGGGGGTGGAAATGGAGTTGGAAGTACTTCAAAATTTGGATGTTTCTCCTAGCAAAACTTCAGAATTCCTGTTGTGCAGGACACTTGGCAATTTTTATGTATCATTTGTTCTAGTTCAGAACAATATTTGTGTGTGTTTCTATCTCTCTCTGATTGGGAGTCCAGCAGCAGGAAGCCCAACCATGGGGACTGGTGAGCCCCATCCCCCAGGGAGTCCTGGCCAGGTGGGGCAGCAGCGAGGCAGCCAAGGAGCCCCATCCCTGGGGAATCCCTGCCAGGTGGGGGAGAAGCAGGGCCACAGCAACTGGGGAGCTCCATCCCCGGAGAGCTCCAGCCAGCTGGCGGCAGCATGTCAGACCCACATCCCCGAAGCCGCAGCGGCAGTGGGGCTGGAGTAGAGCCAGCCAGAGAGAGGGGAAGTATCTGGGAGACCGGTGGCAGGGGACCTCCCCTGGTCCAGCAAATTGCTTCATTCAGGACAGGTCAGGTCCAGAGGGTACTGAACCAGGGAGGTCCAACCTGTACAGAAACAGCCTTTTGGAATATACTACCTGCTTGTTTTCCAGAAGGTGAACTGGTTTCCAACTTGCTTCTGTGAACACATGCTCTCAAGGATACAATTCTAGGGTTTGTTCAGTCTAATTTGAAAACATCACAAACAATGAGGCTAACTCTGGGAAAACAATTTCACAGTCTAATAGTCCTGACATTTAGATATTTCAGTGGGGTTCTTCTCAAAGAGCTACTAATTAAGATGCCGAATGTAACTGCAGTGTTTGTATCCACTCAATTTTCTGCTTCAATTGACCACTCCAGATATTTTATTTGGGCTTTCCTTATCCCTCCAGAACACTAAGTCCATGGAAAAAGTAACAGAAGAGGCTAGGACCAGCCATGATTTTTCTGCTGAAAATGCAAACAAAACGATGTCTGTTACATATGAGAATTTTTACCTTCAGATGTTTTCCATGACTTCCACAGATCTTCCACACTGATGAGTTTATCTTCTCCATGGAAGGTGCTGTGTTTGACTGTTGGGTCATGGTAATTTAAGTCTTCCCGCAGGAACTGGGAAAAGCAATGCAAAGGGATTATTCATCAATTCACAGATTTGTTTAATGACTGTTTTGATCATTTAATCATATATCCTGCACAACACAAGCCACAGAAACTAAGCCAGTAATTTTTGCAGCACACACAACTTCCAAGGAAGACTATGGAATCCACATTATTTAATTTTTTTAAGATCAAGTTGAACAAACATCTGCCAGGGATGGTCGAAGTATAATTGGTCCTGCCTCTGCACAGAGGACTGGACAACTTTTCAAGGTCCCTTCCAGCCCTACATTCTATTTCCAGGATTCTATTATGCTTAGAAAAATAGCCAGTCTTGATTTAAAGACTTCACATCTCTTGTTAAGTTGTTCCTGTGGTTAACTGCCCTTACTGATAACATTTACACCTTATTTCTAGGCAATTTGTCAAACTTCAGCTTCCATGCACTAGATCGCATTCAACCTTTTTTGCTAGGTTGAAGAGACCTTTACGATCAGAAATCTCTTCCCCATGTACTTGTTGTCTGTTATCAAGTTATCACTTAAGCTTAAGTCTTTCACTGTAAGGCAGGTTTTCCAGATTTCGAATCGTCTTAACTATTTTCTGAATCCTTTCCAATTTTGCCATCCTTTCTGAAGCACAGACACTCGCACCAGACAAATATTCCAGTGATGCTCTTATTGATACTGTATATAGAAGTAATCCTATCTCCCTGCTCTTAAATGTATAAGCAAGGCAAGTTCATGGAACAGTTGCATTAACCCAGATATTTGCTTGGCTGTCTTCCATTGTCTCTAAGTTCCATCTCACAGCATCACATCTTTTAAGTATGCCCCTAATTTTTTTGTTCCTATGTGTAAGACGAGGGGTCGGCAATTATTTTTGACTGGGGGCCACTTCAGAAATTTTTGAAGTGGCCCCAAGGCCACTCCGGAAGGGGCTGGGCCAGGCCATTTCCATGCTTCCTCACTCACAGGCCCTGATTGGTCGGGAGGGGGGAGGGGGAAGAACACACAAAATCCCCCCCCCCCCGCCCCCGAGAGAACCTCCAGCTGTTCAGAACAGCTGGCGGTTCCCTCTAGGTACTCATGCCCCTGGCGGTGGGAGTAGTCTTCTAGTGCTCCCCCCTGCTGCCCCCAGGTCAATCCAGGCCTGAGGAGGGGAGCACTTGAAGTCTCTCGCTCCCTGCCCCGGCCCTTCAAGGGAGTGTTGCGCTTAGAGTCAACCACTAGCTGAGCAGCAGCTGGTGGTTGACTAAGTGCTGAGCACCTTGCAGGGCAGAAGGAGACTTCACTGGCTCCCCCCACCCCACACACCAGG